TGTTGGCGGCTGATAATTTATTCCAACCTGAAAACACCGATTCAGCGAGGAAAAGGTGCAGCTATAGGCTACAGTTCCTTAGAGTTAACGGCTAAAAGGATTTAGCGCTGGGCTTTTTCTCGACCACCTGCCGTTACTAGGGCAATGCTGGTTAGTTTCTGTTCCTCCGCTGAAAAAATACGTACCTTGAAACCGGTTGGACACCAGTCCACAAACTGGATTATGCGCTTCGTTTTGATTGTAGCAATAACAGCATTGACATCCTTTGGCACTACATCACCACGATAAAGCAGACAAACTGCCATATACTTGCCATGTCGAGGATCACACTGAAAAATCACTCGTTTAAATATTTATAATAATAATGCTAGTCATTTATATCAGTCCAGCACTTTTGAGCAAGAAGTATGAATGCTCGAAAGGAGTTTTATTACAGAGGGAGGGGTATGGGTGGCAATTTTTGTTTCATATTGAATGAATATGCCAGGCCATCTTCATCATCTAATTTTCTGCTTTATCCAAGTATCGGACCTTTGTGGACTTCTCTTTGCCCAGTCTTCCGCGGCCAATAAGCCGACTGTAGCATTCAGGTTGACCTTGGATGCCGAAGTGTCGAAGACGCAATGAACCCAGAAAGCAAGAAAGAATGAGGAAAGGAGGCAAGAATGAGATAAGACGTTTCGGTTCATTAAGTCATATAAGTTTTAACTTAACACTGCGACAGGATCTCGTTAACTTGCAGTCCAAAACTCTTGTTGTTGCTGTTTCAAGGCTCCAAAGGTAACATTATTGGCACCATTATTCCAAAAATCTGCTTAAACACGAACAAATGAACTTGTCCAAAAAACCCCGCTGCTTGCCCGAGGGCAAAATAGCTGTGTCAAATGCTTAAATCCACCACTAAGCATTCAGCTTCCGCAGAACGAATAAAACCAAACATTTACCAACAGCTTATTGAAAAGCAGATGAAGATCTAATTACCTTGACCATCTGATTTGTTGGCTCGAAACACGCGTTCGTAATGTCTGCAACCGATAACGATTCGTGGTAGGCTTTGTCAGCCGAAATGAGCGGTGCGTATGTTGCCAAAGGAAAGTGTACACGTGGAAAGGGCACCAAATTTGTTTGGAATTCAATCAAATCCACGTTCAGAGCACCGTCAAATCGAAGCGAAGCGGTTATTGATGACACAACCTGCAATTTTTAATCTGTTAAAACTGATCCATTATGTACAATACAAATAGAGAGCCCTTGCTTTGCCAGTACAAGACTCGGATGTTCATCAGCATGCGAGCGAGCCATGTGTAAGAAGGCATTTTACGATGCAGTCTGCCTATGTTTCAATCCTTAGCTGTAAACACAGACCGAATTATACGTGCGGTTAGGAGCGGGAATCATCAGTACAGCCTCCTACTCGCCACGTACTGAACAGCCGTGTAACTAATTCGCAAGATGGATATGCGGAAGAAGGGGAAAACAGAGGAAAAACAAACAGAGTGAAAGGGTATTGAAAGAAAGGGAGTTAACTCATATGCGCCAAAATTTCCAAACAGAAACTGTAAGCAAAACGGTTATCGATTAGCGCAAATTCCACAGCATCACGGCACTCTTAATTCTGACTTAGTTGGAAGAGCTGTGCTCATTTTTCTGATATTTTTGTTGAAATCAACGTACGGATGCAAAACGCGATCAGTGACAAAAGCATGGGGTGAACACTGGCCATGACGGAAAAGGCGGTGCAGCAAAGGGTGAGTGGTGTGCCTCTTTGTTGACCATTAAAATCAGGCTCCCCCTCGCAAAATATCGCTGCGGCTGCACGAGAAGAAATAAAATCCCTTAAACAAAAAATGTTGTTCGTTTTGCTCATTACTAGTGCGAGTCGCAAAACAGTGGGTGCTACGGACCACTCATGTGCCTTCCTAAAAACCTACGCACATGTTTCGAGCAGGTGATGCATACACTACGTCAGACATGTGCATGTGCTCCGATAACAACACTAATACGTCAACCGCCTTGACGGCTTTAGGCGACTGTTGCAAAAGGAAGAAGATGCTAGCAGCAAGGAGACGAAGCTGGCGCCTAAACCCTTTCGCCTTGCCTAGTTGCCCTTCAGTTTCATGTGATATGTAGATGTCCCGTCTCCTGACTCGAGTTCTCCCTCCGTGATATTAAATGTGGTGATTAGAAATGAAATTTGGATTATTTTTGTGTCATAAAAATTATACGGTGGCAGCTTGGAGCTGCTGCCGAACTCTTCGCGGTTTGATGTTCTTTTTGTGCCTGTTTTGTTTTGTGCTTGCATTAATAAAGTTTCATTTGCTGATTGGGGCGAGAGCACCCTACAGCCACTCTGGCCTCCGGCTGCTTTCCTCCCGACTATTACAGTTACTCGGACGGCCTCAGACAACTCTACTCACCTGGGAAATCAGCCGATTAAGATTGGTATACGATGGCCGTTCGACGTTCAGATTACGGCGACAAATGTCGTAGATTGCTTCGTTGTCGACCATGAATGAGCAGTCGGAGTGCTCAAGCGTTGAATGTGTCGTTAGGACCGAATTGTACGGCTCAACCACGGAAGTGGAGACCTGTGGCGCCGGATATACTGAGAATTCCAGTTTGCTTTTTTTGCCATAATCAATCGAGAGTCGTTCCACCAGCAGAGATGTAAAACCCGAGCCAGTGCCACCACCGAACGAATGGAAAATTAGAAATCCTGAAATTTTTGTTAACGTTGGAGCATCAATAATCCTAGTTTTCAAA